CTGAATTTACAATTGGCAGCGAGTCAAGGATGATTTTCCAAAACTGCGCTAATGGTATCTTTCCTCTCTTTTCTCTCTGTATATATACTTCAATCTGTGCGTAAGCTCGAGTCTTGAATCATATAATATACATATAGCGACGAGCTAATTTTCTCTCGATGAGAGGTTGAATTTTATTCTTTTCTCTCGCGCCTCTTTTCCTTCGCTCTCGGTGCTTTAACGTTTAATGAGCTTTAAACGAGCTTATAGCAATTTTCGCGTTGCACAATCTATACAGGTCGTCGAGGCGATGAAGCAACGATGTATAATCTGTATACCCATTCAACTATATTGTATATATACATCGAGCATAAATACTTTCAAAAGAGAAACGAAAAATCAATGCAAAAATCCTGCCCGACCCGTCAATTTTTCTTACTCCCGCTCGGCTCGGCGTTATAACTGACGCATTCCGTATCGACATTTGGATCGTCGTCGTCGCTGCTGCTGCTGCTGCGGAGAAGTAGAAAGAAAATCGTAAAGTTCGGGGAGAATATTTCCTCGCGGAAGGGTTGAGTTTATCAAATATATAATACGCGCACCCGCCTCGACTCCGCGCGAAACTGTCAAAGTCACTTCTGTGTTCTCCTCAGGGCGACGGTGGTACTGGGGGTTCAAGAAACTTTCTTGTACGCGTCTTTAGCTGCGTCGGGGACGCGCACCTGCACGCATCGATTCGCGCGAGCCTTTTTTTACATCAATCATCGTGCGTGCGTGTGCGCCTTCGACTTTGACACACGCGAGACTGTATACAACGTAATATGGGTATAGAACAAAATCTCGTTCCTTTCGGGCGTAATGCATCGAAGCTTTTACGGAGTTCGTCGACTGCAGAAATCAGAATTTCCATTCGTGAGAGAAGATCGTGAGTCGCGAGAAAAAAAGGTTAAGCGCGTATCGTAGCTCGCAGAATTACGTCAGTTCAGTCTGCTGTGCTCGCGAATCTCTACGGAACGTGTATTGCCATTGTTTCAGCGGCTTTTCCGCTCCGGCGCACACAGCCGCGCGGTATTAGACGGGGTATAGTCGGTACACTAAACCTGTCACACTTTCGAGTCCCACGACCGAATTTTTCGCATATGCTGCTGCTTCTGCCGCTGGAATCCTTTTGTGAAGAGTCTCTCGCGGTCGTCGCGACCAGTAGCACAGTAGTAAGCTTGAATAAAAATAAATAAAAACTACGCGCTGGCCCTCCCATGATCTAGCGGGCAAATATAAGCGCGCGTAAATCGAGGAAGTTTGATGAACATTGCAGGACCTTTGCGTGCTATATTTCACGGCTGAAACAGCAGAATTTTGTACGCGAGTTCGTTTCGCGTAAATAGCATTGCATATCCTCTTTTTCTCTATACCTAATGTTTACATTGGGAAAAATACATAAACTACCACTATGCACTATCGCAGCTCGAAGCGATAGGGATGCATTGCAACTGTGCCTGCGTACGAGCTATGTATAGACACGTGCAAGCTCGCAGCTCTTTTCGAACGAGCTTACAAATTTCCAAATAGCCCCATTGACTGGTATGCATGCATACGTACGCGCAGCTAGTCCAGGGTAAAAAAGTTCACCACCCCCCTATGAATGGGGTCCGCTGCAGCTCTCGAATTGGATCTGCAGAGAGGTGCAAAACGAATTTTAGCACACGAGCGTGACTCGAGAAACTCGAGTCGAGCTACTTGCCTGCTGCTGTATACATTCATTCAATAAAAGCCCAATGACACGTATGCATACGAATGACACACGCGCTAGACGGAATTAAAGGTCCGCTTGGTTGAGGCAACGAGGAAAAAGGGTCTATTTCTCTGTGTGTGTGTGTGTGTGTGCTTTCGAGAGAATAACAGGATTCAATTTTTCGAATAGGGGGATGAAAGAATATTATTTCTTTCAATTTCTTGTATTATTGCGTTTGATAAATAGAACGATAGTTGCAAATGTTTTTTTTAGTTATAATGGTTTAGCTATGATTTCCAATTTTTATCAATACTTTTATAAGCTCTCGGATTGATCTAATGTTGAAATACTAAAATCAAAGAACAAAAGATGAAAGAGAGGATAATCAAAAGTCACGCAAGCAGGCAAACTATTAAAATCCGGCTTTCGTATCCTGAACTTTCGTTTCTTATCGCTAGGTGGCTCGCCACCGAGTGTCTCATCCGCAAGCGACGTAACGTCGATTATTGTATAAAGATGAGTGTTAAACCTGATTTTATTTTACTCATAAGTTCAATGATGGAGTCGTTTGCTCCCGCTTTCTTCTTCGCAAACATTATACATTGGCGAAAACACGATCTGTTTTTTTTTTCATCGTTTTGTCGCAGAATTTCTGGCTGCGCTGCTGTAGTTCGTACGATACAGACACGTATACACGTTTGGCAGCATATTTGGATGATTTAGCAGGGGTTGCCTGTGAATCTATACATTTCCCAAGCCCACATGCATACCTGCACTCACACACAATCTCATACAATACCACTGCTCAGAGCTCGTAGTCCTACAGCACTACTTTTCAACGTTTTGGATATGCTGGTGTCCTATATTTATGCATTACGTATACATGTTCGGCGGACTACATTGTGTACTCCGGGCGTAAGCATACATACCATCTCCCCTCCCTCCCCTGCACCCCCGCACACACACACACACACACACACACATACAAACACAAGTCGGTCGGTCAACTCGCGCGCACCCGGATTTACATTGGGACGAGCTATTTATTTGTTTGCCTCCCTTTCGCCCGGCTCCTGTCCCTCCAGCAACCTGCAGTACTGTTCATCCGTGCGCATGTGTGTGCGTGCGTGCGTCCAGCTCGACGTGCGCGCGGACCTATGTACGCGTAGTTCGCGCGACGCGCCGAGGCTAATATTAGCGTACGGGGGGTAGGACGATCGTGTAAATAATGCCGCCGAACGCACTGGGTAGCATGATAAATTTATTTCTACGCGCTTATTTAGTGTTTGCGGTACGCGAGCTCGAAAGAGAGGAAGTTATTTACCGCTAGCGCGCGAGCGCCGATCCGTATGATATTCACCTGTGTGTGTGTACCTGTGCGAGCTTTTATTATGCGCGATGTTTGCGCTCGAAAGCTACTGCTGCTGCGCATAACACCGAACGTTTGTTTAAATTTTCCACGAGATTTTGTCCATACGCTCGGGGATCTTCCTCGGCTCGAGTCGAGGCTAATAATAATTGATGCGCGCCCGTCCGCGTCGATTTATAAATCCCGTGTATATATAGAGCGTGTGTGTGCGCGCTGTACGAAAACCATCGATTTTTTTTTTTTGTCTTTTAACCAAAGCTTGTACTGCAGTGGCACGGATTTAATAATAGACTTTGAAAAGCTTCGGAAAACGGGGATAGAATTCATTTATGAGCTCGGTCACGACGGATAGAGAGACGTACACACAGGGACGAGTTTAAGCTCCGACGAGCGAGCAACGACGCGAAAAAAATAAAGAGAGAGAGAGAGAGAGAGAGAGTGAGTCACCGAAACAATTCGCGATATTTTTCAATATATATTCCGAAACAAAGAAAAATAGTACTTACGGGCGAGCTGCCGCATATAAGGCAGGATGTACGTCTTCTTCTTCTTCTTTCATCGAATTCCAAATAAAAATGGATTTCTTTCGCATGGATATACATGGGAGCGCGCGCACGCGAGTATGTATGTGTATGCCTAGTGTGCTGCTGCTCCATCCCTTGCGCGCGAGAAACGATCCAGTCATAATACCCCAGCCCGAAGAAAGTATTAAAAGAGGAAAGCCACTATAAATTACATTCCTTGGTACGTAATATATCGACCCCCGCTCGTTGGTATATATATCGGAAGAAAAGGCCGAGGAGTGCGAGTATACGAGAGCCTCGGAGACTCGAGACGTACGTACACATGCGTTTCTGTTTTTTCTCCGTTGTCTTAGTGTCGTATGCTGCACGCATTCGATGCGACGCGTGGCTAAAGTCAATTAAATTTACTCCGCGTCCGAGTGAGAGCAGCAGCAGTAGAAAAATAGTATTAATATTTGGATTTATCAAGACGATGGTAATTACAAATTAATAACAGTTTGATATATTTTATTGTTCTTCAAAAAGTACAAGGATATTAGTTTAAATTTTTTTCCAAAATTACATGTATGTGTTCTTCACCGAATTCAAAAATTCGGAACAAATATCACGCTTTGCTAGGGTTTGCTCTGATTATGCATCTTCATTGTGTGAATTTTGAGGTGATCTCACATTCAAACGGTTTACTCCGATCATGTACCCTTACTATGTGAATGTTGAGGTAACTTTTTCGTCCAAATAACTTATGACAAATCTCACATTCAAATGACTTTTTGTGATCATGTACTGAATTTATGTGACGTTTGAGTACATACTTGTATCCGAATGATTTGTGACAAATCTCACATTCAAAAGATTGGGCACGATCGTGTACTCTCATTATGTGTTTATTAAGGTTACTTCTTTGTCCAAATGATTTTTGACAATTTTCGCATTTAAAGGGTCTGCTGCGATCATGTACTGTCATTATGTGGCTTGTGAGTTTACACTGTACACCAAATGATTTGTGACAAATCTCGCACTCAAAGGGTTTGATGCGATCATGTACTATATTCAAGTGTTTATTTAGACCACTCTTGTATCCAAATGATTTATGACAATTATCACATTCATGGGGTTTGCTATGATTGTGTACTCCACTTATGTGTTTATTGAAGCCACTCTTGTATCCAAATGATTTGTGACAAATCTCACACTCGAAGGGTTTGCTCCGATAATGTACTGCATTTATGTGAAATTTGAGGTATTGTTTTTGTCCAAATGATTTGTGACAAATTTCACACTCAAAAGATTTCATCCGAAGGTGTACTGCCTTTATATGAACTGCGAGGTTACTTTTTTGTCCAAATGATTTGTGACAAATATCACATTCAAAGGGTTTTCTCCGTTTATGTACTACGTTGACGTGTTTCTTGAGGTTCTCCTTATAGCCGAAAAATTTGTGACAAATTTCACATTCATAAGGTTTGCTCCGGTTATGAACTGCATTCATGCGACTACTGCGGTTACTCTTACCTCCAAATGATTTGTGACAAATATCAAAATCAAAGGGTTTGCTACTATTATGTACTGGGAATTCATTGAATATATTTTCATTCATGTCATTCGTCTGATTTCCGTTTTCCGTTTTCACAATAGTTAGGCAACTTTGGTACTCAGTTTTGCATATGTTTGTCGATGAACACTCGAGTTCAAGTTTTACATGCTTGAATTCAATCTCTATGAATATTTTTTCATCCAACTTTTCTTGCGAGGTCATAACCTCATTCATGTGGTTTGCCTAAAATGAAAATTGTGATGCAGTCATGGACAGTAAAGAAACTTAATGTAATTTACACTATTGAACTCACCGATGATTTATAAAACGATAATGTTTCCAAGTTTTTGGCTTCGCTAGAGTCCAATGAATCGAAATCACAATCTCCACCTGCGTCCGGCGAATCATCATTTGGCTCTTCCTTCACCCTGAAAATAATTCAAGTTTGATGAGGCAATTACATAAAAAATTATCACGGCATGCATAAAAAATAATTATACCTAATTGTGTCCTCTCTGCTTTCCATCTCTCACTTTATTGTGTTTATTTTCACAGAAAACTTTCACGGCAATGTACACTGAGAAAAATATTTGAGGTTATATGCCTCGAGAAACCAACACTAGGCCACGAATTCGCACCAATTTGTAAACACTTTGCACTCAATGCATGAATTCCGCTCCTCTACAGATACTGATTGCACTACTTGTAATATTATCTAGATGAACCTGCGATTATGATAATTCCTCGATGATACTTTCCTCCTTTACTGTCGCGTACGAGTGTCGAGTAGATATATACGCGGTAAAGTCTATGCAAAACACAGAGGGACTCGCACATCATGAAATATACGCCGAAATTGTAATGAAAATGTCATTCATCCAGGCGCACAATTTACTTGAACATTAGTGTGATGAATACAGAGAACCCGAAAATAAATAAATGCGCACGCTAGAACCAGTGGTGAATTAAAAAAAGTGCCACCACCACGCAAACTTTCATTTTTCGTAAACACAATTCGAAAACAATTACATTGTTGAGAACAATTAAATTGTTATGTAGTTTCTATGTTATGAAAAAAATTGTTGTTATTACTGATCACGACTCATTTATCGAAAATAATTAGTCAATCGGCAAATTTATCAAAATCTTTTATTGGTGCATGTTTGATCCATTTTGGATAGGTTGTCATTTTGTGAGGTTTATAAAAAATCCAGTAGCTTACTAAATGCTTGCCCAGTTCACAGTTCCAAAGAAGACGTGAAAAAAATCTGGGCTGATAGTTGCATGAACAGATAAAGACAACTAAAAAATGAACACAGAGTAGTAGTAAGGGAAATCTGGAAACACTACAACGACAATGTCCTAGAGGTGTAATGATAGTTGAAAGCCCGAGGTTCAGGTAATACCCAATTATTTCAGTTATAGATATTTTTATTAAAGTTATAGAAAATTTGTAGGAGTATCTACACATATTTATAATTGTCAGTCATCATATTTTCTCACACCTGTGCCGTATAACCCTCGTGGACTCTCTTTTGGTGCAAAAGCAAATACTGCTTATGTCCAAATTTCTTCTCGCATTTATCGCAAGCGTAATCTTTGCGACCTTCGTGTATCGTCTTTTGGTGAAAAAGTAAACTCGATTTTTGTCCAAACTTCTTTTCGCATTCATTGCATGCAAAATCTTTGCGACCTTCGTGGACTGTCGTTTGGTGTCTGATCCAACTTCTTGAATCACTAAATTTCTGCTCACACCTATCACATGGGAAATCTCTTCGACCTTCATGGACTGTTTTTCGATGCCTCCACAAGTGTTCATGTTTTCCGAATTTACTATCACAATTGTCGCATGCATAATCTTTGCTACGGTCGTGTACAGTTTTTTGGTGGAGATACAAATATTCTTTCCATTCAAATTTCTTTTTGCATTTGTCACATTTGTAATCCTTACGAACATCATGGACCGCAATTTGATGTAGAAGCAAAGCCGATTTTCGTCCAAATTTTTTCTCGCATTTATTGCATGCAAAATCTTTGCGACCTTCGTGGACAATCTTAGTGTGGATTAGCAAATTTGATTTCAGTCCAAATTTCTTTTCGCACTTGTCGCATGCAAAATCTTTGCGACCTTCGTGGACAATCTTAGTGTGGATTAGCAAATTTGATTTCAGTCCAAACTTCTTTTCGCACTTGTCGCATGCGTAATCTTTTCGACCTTCATGAATTGTCTTTTGATGGGTGAGTAAATTATATTCACGTCCGAATTTTTTTTCACATTTATCACAAGCGTAATCTTTTTGACCTTCATGTGCTGTCTTTTGATGACTTATCAATTTCGATTTTACTCTGAATTTTTCATCACATTTATCACAAGCGTAATCTTTTTGACCTTCATGGACTGTCTTTTGATGTCTTATCAATGTCGATTTTTCGCCAAATTTCTGTTCACAAATGTCGCATATGTAATCTTTACGACCTTCGTGTACTATTCGCTGGTGATGTATCAAATTGCTTTGAGCCCCAAATTTCTTTCCGCACCTGTCGCATTGGTAATCTTTTTGACCTTCATGGACTATCTTTTGATGTCTAATCAATTTCGATTTTTGTCCAAATTTCTGTTCACAAATGTTGCATACGTAATCTTTACGACCTTCGTGTACTATTTGCTGGTGATGTACCAAATTGCATTGAACACCAAATTTCTTTCCGCACTTGTCGCATTGGTAATCTTTTTGACCTTCATGGACTGTCTTTTGATGTCTAATTAATGTCGATTTTTGTCCAAATTTCTGCTCGCAATTGTCACATGCATAATCTTTTCGACCTTCGTGTATGGTTTTTTGGTGCAGTAACAAATTCGATTTTTGTCCAAATTTTTTCTCACACTTATTGCATGCAAAATTTTTGCGACCATCGTGGACTACTTCTTGGTGTTTTATCAAATCTGCTTTATTCCTAAATTTCCTCTCGCAATAGAGGCATGGGTGATCTTTGCGACCTTGGTGGATTATTTTTTGGTGTGAAAGTAAATGTGATTTTTGACCAAATTTCTTTTCGCACTTATCGCATACGTAATCTTTGCGACCCTCATGTACCGTTTTTTGGTGCCTGATCAAATTACCTAGGCTCACGAATTTTATTTCACACTTATCGCATGCATAATCTTTGCGTCGTTCATGGATTGATCTTTGGTGAAAAAGCAAAGTCGACTTTTTCCCAAATTTCTTTTTGGACTTGTCACATGCGAAATCTTTGCGACTGTCATGTGCTGTTTTTATGTGCAAAAGCAAACTCTGTTTGGTAACAAATCTCTTGGCGCACATTTCACATAAATAATTTTTGAAAGCTTCGTGGAATATTTTTTTGTGCTTGAGTAAAGTTGATTTATTTTCAAATTTTCTCTCGCACTTGTTGCACGTGAAATTATCGTGATTTTTGTGTACTAATTTTTGGTGCGTGAACAAACTTGATTTTTTTACAAATTTTTTCTCGCACTGATCGCATGCAAAATTGTTGCGGCCTTTGTGTTCTGATTTTTGGTGCCTATTCAAATGATTTCGGAACTCAAATGTCTTTTCGCACTGGTTACATACAAAATCTTTTCTTTCATCATGAATTGTGTTTCGGTGTGCTATCAAGCTTGATTCAATTACAAAGGCCTCCTGACAGATATTACAAACGTATTGTTTGTCGTCTGAAACAACAATGTCGTGTTCACTTGAATTATTTTCCGAGACGACTTCTTGTTCACGAGATGATTTCCTCTCACTTTGATCCATTTTGGAGCCTAAAATAAACGATGAATTCTTTAATTTAGTGCCACGGAAATTAAATGAGTAAAATTTATCTTTTTCTATTATGGCTTGCTTCATCGGGTAAGACAACATTCAAACTAATTTGTTTTTACTATAAACATGATCAGTGTATCAAGGAGCGATTGTCCAAATTTTCGTTTATGATTTATTGTTTACAAATCATAACTACTGGTTTATGTATTTATACTTACAATATTTGAAACGATGTAAAATTCTAACATGGCAACGATTCCTTCAAGAACTGCACTTAGTAATTACTGTAATAATTTTGTCAGTCACGTCGATTATTTTACAAAATTCATCGCTATATACTTTTAAAGAAGGTTTAATTGCTTTATTGAAATAAATGTATTGTATGTTGACGCGTTATACACTGAACACAAATGTTTCGATTCTCTATAACGTGATCAAGTATGTATATGGTTTGCACAAGGAGTTTTTTGTGTACACGTAAAAAATAAGGAAGACGTCAAAGACCCGACTAGACTTCTTGCTCCTCACGCAACAGAGATGTGATTTTTTTTCTTCTCGTTACCGAGTGGTAGGTCAGTTAAAGCACGAGTATCACTGTGCGCTGTAAAGCAGTGAAAGTAAACGACGTGACTCCACCATTTTTAAACGTGCAGAAATCTGAGTACATGTATTTAACGCAGACTTATCAATGCGGCTAAGGGCAAGCTCAAAATTTGAAACTTTTTCGTTGGAATGATTCACGACTAGATTACATTTGCATATGCGACCATAAAAACTATCGTTGTTTGACCATTCATTTCGTTTCGATTTTCGATTTTAAATTATATAACACGTAGACAACGATAATTGATGCATTGAAGCAAAGTAACTCCACAAATGTTCGATGAGTTTTTTACGACTCTTACAATCGGATAATAAGACTTTTTTCCAATTCTGCAGTCTCGCTTGGGTGCTTTCAAACTTTTAACAAATGTACATCAAGATTTTAATTCGTAATAATCTCTCGAATCTGTCTTGTTTTACTTTCAGAACTTTGGCAAGAGGATTGGCGCGTGTATTTACGCGTATTTATAATTCGATCGATGCGAACGAAAACAAAAGATGAATAAGCCTGCGTTCATGATATGAGCTTGAGATGCTTGAAATATATAAACATCTAATCATAATAATTTAGTGAAAACTTTTATGAAATCGGATTTTTTTTGGGAGTGGTGAAACCTGGTACTATTTCTATTTTTTTATCCTACTCTCGATTAAATCATGCATAAGGTCTATATTTTTTTTCATCTCTTTTAATCTCGATCCCACTGCGTCACGGACTTCGCTCGTTACAATTACATCGAGTGCATCGTAAATCAATCACGATGATTGATGCTTTTTACGTGCCTGTAATTATTCATCACGACTCCGCGCACACGCAACGAAAGACACGGAATTATTAATTTTATTTGCCTCGCGAATGTAATATATCGACTCCAATCGACCGATTGATTCGTTTCATTCTTCTTACCTCCTGAGCAATTCTCTAATTTATATATGAGAAACTAAAACATCGGTGGGCGAGTAGTTGCTCAAGTTTGCTCTCTCTCTCTCTCTCTCCAATGTTCAATTAAAGATAATTGAAGTTTGTGTGTACTCGAAGCGGATCCGAGTCTCCAACCTGTACCTATATATAGGTGCAGTGCGCGTCACCATAGCAGCAACAGCAGCCGCGCTGCACTTCTCGTGCTATGCGAGT